CTATAATACCTGATGACTTCATAACTTCAACTACTTGTACAAGGATAAGAAGTAAAACACAGAAAAAAAATGTAGACAAAATCTTCATGCGCCGCAGGCGAATTTTTTCTGAGTTCAAGGTCAAATGCTTTCAGGTAATAACTCCATTTCAGTGAATACCGGGAGCGGCCAAGAAACTCAGACAAAATGTTCCTATGGCAAAAAATGCGCCGCAGGCGAAATTTTTGTTGGGATTCAAATTCATCACATTAGTATATTACAGTTTATTGTAATTGATATAAAATGATCTGGAATCTGAAAATAAGAACAATAAGAAGAGCAAGTGAAAAGTATTTTAAATGGTGTCTGTAGTTTAACCAAGTGGATGTTCTCCAGATTTTTTGGGATTTTCTCTCATAGTCTCTTAGTAAGTAGTAGAAATGCATAAATAAGCTACCGCACAGTGATGGAACAAACAAAACATCCTTAGGCGTCTGAAAAATATGCCCCTTGGTTATTGTTTCAAATAGAAATTTAAAATTTGGGAAGATAAGAATGTGTATAAAAAGTAGACATTAATTGACAATGGACCAACACACTATTTACTATCATTTTATTTATTCAAAATGCAGCATATTCATTCGACTTATGAGTTTCAAATAATTTTGTTTGATAGGACAATATGCGGCCTGCGGCCGCCCCTTGTTTTGGCCGCCCGCGTGCGGGGCACGCGCTGCACACCCGCTAGGATCGGCCCTGGAAGTGACTCAAATAAAGGATCTCGGGGTATTATTGTATGACATACTCTCTTCTTCACAGCATATAATAATGATATTCCTGAAAGCACGCAAGATGCTTGGTTACATCAAGAGGGTATCCAGAGATCTCTCAATCCACTCCTTCGAGGTTCTCTACTGCGCATTTGTCCTTTCAAACTTGGAGTATGCGTCGGTGGTGTGGAACCCCTATTTTCAGACTTACATCAATAACATGCTATAAACAGTCCAACACAAATTCTTGAGAGCTTCAGCGTAAAAACTAGGAATTCAAGTTGACAACTATGACTACGATTTTCCATCCCTATGCTTATGTTTGAAAACAACCACACTAGAAAACAGAAAAATTTAAGTCGACTTTTATCCTCTGTTCAAGCTGCTAGCTGAAGAAGTCTGCTTTCCTGATATCCTATGTCATATTGAGTTTGAATCAATGATTCTAGCACTAGGTCAAGAAACACCTTTCACATTGGGCATCATTACATGGAAAATGGGTTTCACAGTTCTCTAACAAGGATGGAAGGCAAATGATGTAGATTTGAACCACTTCGGCATACTCTTATCTACTTTCAGACTTGAATTAAAAAACTAATTGGCTCAGTGATACTAGGAGTTTGTATGTGATTGATCTCTCATCATTATAGGAGTTTTCACAATTTTGTGTAGTTTACTTTGTATTTCTTTATTCCTATATTTGAAGAACCACTGTTTTGAAGTAGGAGTGTAATTGTCCTTCTAGTGAGTTAGCATTTTTAGGAATATTTTGAAGACTGCAATTATTATTTATTGTTTTGAGATTTTACTTGTACAGTGTTGTAATGGATATTTCCGTGAATGAATAAATATATAATGGAGTTTGCTCCTTCTGAATTGGTCGATGACTCAAAATCACCTCAAGTTAGAACTTATAGCAGAGTAAGTCAATCAGACGACGTTCGTTTTAATCATTGAGAAGCATTTCTTCTCAAAGTACCTTGATCTAAGTATAGAGCCCCATCTTCAGAATATCCTCCTGAAAATAAAGGTAACGATCTGCCCGAAATTAATGATCCTATGACAACTGGTATATGTATACAGGGTGTCCCATAATTATCGTGCAATATTCCACGAGCAAATTCAACAACCAAAAATAAGAAGAAAAGTTCATGTAAACATGGGTCAAATAATATTTCATGAGTCAGCTGAAGCCACCTGAAAGTGGTACCCTCAAGATGATTCTTATTTTATATCTCCGAAACTGTTGAGAGCGGATTTGATCCATTTCGAAAGTCGACCAATCTCCTTATGTTTCATAATTTGCGATAAGAATAATATAATTTTTTGAGGGTGATGGGTGATGAGAGATGAGATTAACACAACTTTTTTGGGTGCGTTCTTTTCGCAATTTCACCAAGAAACTATGAAACCTTGGAGGTTTTTGCATTAGCAGGTTCCTATTGTTCAACATCGATAGGATATCGAGAAAAATCGATTACAAAATTCATAATGAAATTACAAAAATTAAAAATTTGTGCGAAAGCCATGAAACACAACCACTATCTGCTTGTAATGTAGGTATGTTTGTATGTTTGTATTATGGAAATCTTCGAACATGATTTTGACCCACTTGAAAACGTCACATTTAATTCAAACTTCGCATATCCATCAAGAACCGATAACGATAGCATGATCCAGTGGTTTTGATTCATCATTCTGATCATCAGGATATTCATATTGGCGATATTTTCTGCTTGAATAAAATGGTGGATGAAGTTCAGCCACCAAAGATTCGAATGATTCGTCATCAATATTCCAAATATTCGGGTTTTTTTTTCGAATAATTTTTCACGAAGCTTTTTTATATCCAGGAGTGCCTTGCAGCAAGTATTACTATGGATAGATATATCGAGAAAGACGAGTGATTCTGACCCACTTCAAATCGTCAAATGATTTGAAACTTCCCACACTCATGAGAGATCGATAAAAATAGCATGATTCGATAGTTTCGTTTTATTATCCTGATCAGAATCTCCAGGATGTGTAACTTCCACATTCAGAGACACGACACTGTCTCGCACCAAGTATACTCATATGGTATGACAATGGTTATATCCAGAGAGATTGTAATGTTATGCACCAAGTACTCGTATGAACAAATGAAGTATCCGGATATGATAGTTGTTCTGAAGTGAATAATAAAGAACACGCTTCTGTGGTTGATCGAACTCAAAAATAAAATAGTAGTTCACACGCGAGTTCCCTAGTAGCAGACCAACTAGCGTGCGGAAAAATTTCGAAACAACATCGAAAATAGTAACATCCCGTCATTAGTAATTTCCATGTTGTGCATTTATCGACACCCTATTATTATATTATTTCAATTTTTTTTTCAGTTTGGCTATCTACATAGGCGTGTTTTCTCAGTTTTCCAAACTACTATTGAGTTTCGTTTCGACTGGAGATTCAGTTGGTGATAATGCCACAGTAAGACGATGTGGTGTATGTTTGATTGCCTTTTTTTTATGTTATGGTTCCCACGAAAAGGGATATCCTGTAAAGTTCGAAAAACATCGTGAGAACCAAGGGAAATAAGGTTGGAATTGGTGTTCTTCTTCAGGTTATATGCCTCGAGAAACACCTCCCTTGGCAATGTGTTCCAGAGCCTCGCTGTTCGTTGAATAAACGAAACTTTGGAAAGCACTGTTCTGCAGGTCTCCAAAGTGACCACGAAGGCCCAGGCAACCAGATGACGAATGATCACGTCACAGTGACGACCCTAATTGGTGATTTCTCGTCAGAGACGCCACACACCAATTTATGACGTCACTATAACGTACTTTCTATGACGTGATAATCACGTCATCGTTTCGAAGTCGAGTGAACGTCACTTAGATGGGTGAAAGAAGACGTCAGTTTCAACGTCCATTTTTCCCAGACCTTCTCTAAGCCATGAATTCTTATATATTATTATGTCAGACAGAAGTATAACTCATGAAAGCAAATCAACATGCAAGTTTTATTCTAATAATTAATATACTCGAAGAGTAGTAGAAAAACTTTTTTCTAAAAAACTTTGACACACTGTATATCTCGGAAACCAACAAGCTATTGTTACACTCCATTTTCTCACCAACACCCTTTCTCCAGAACTGTTCTTAATTCTCTACTTTATTGGTTAACTTATCAATAACTTTACTTTCATATCATAGTATAATGTATAGTTCTTTCATCGGTTCATGGTTCTCGTATCATTACTCTGGTATTCCACATCTTGATGTTTACAATATCATCATTGATGGCACTAAAAACATAATATTGATTACTCATGATTGATAAATGGATGAGTTCAAATCACAACCTGTTGAAATATCATCAGTATAATCCATCACTCTGTATAAAGATTAGGGTTTTCATACAGCTCTCCGATCGAGGAAAGTCCACACAGACGTATCAGAATGGTATCCGGTACTGAACTCGGTACTGAATATCTATCTCCTCACTGCGAGTGAGACAAAGACGTTGAATGTTATGCGAGTCTATAATAAATTCGATACATTTCAAAAAAGTTGAGCAGGCGAACTAATTGTCTAATTAGATATCTATACTCTTCAGTCAGGTGTGTAAAATAAGGAGGGTCGGAGGTTGGTCCGTATATAGCTACTTCTGTCCTAGCTTGTTCCATTCCGATATCCGGTGGTGTTACCAACTTATCTAGTAGTTTTGGATAGTACAGAAACTGCTATTACAGGTGATTCAGGTTGGTCATTCGGGAAGTCTCTGTCGAGGTCCATTTTTCAGTGATAACATTTTTGCGTTGATCAGGTGCCCATTGGACTTTTTATTGTTTTGTAGAAAAATCGAGGATTTCTGAGGAAATCGTTTTGTTTCTCACTTCGACATATTGTTTGTGTCTCTGGGTTTGGGACCGATTACGTAAATAGCACCTAAGGTGGATATCTTCACTGGAACTCGTAAGTAGTTCAATCGCTCACGAGCGTCCATTTGCCATACCGACACTTCATTTCTTTCAGTCATCCCGCCAAATTGCCGAGAGCTACTACCATTCCGGATCTCCCAACATCATGAAAATATAGCTCCAGGAACAACCTGGTATAGAAAGTCCCTCAAATTGATGAGGTAAGAGAGTAGAGATAACATATTTTTCACGATTATTCCTGTCTCACTCTGTCTCAGCTTTTCACTCGATGTAGTATATCCATCTCTCTTCGCATCGTTTGGTGAATATTGAAATGTCGAATTTTTCAGGGTTTTTGTATTGGGGCTTCTCTAAGGAGAGTTTGAGGGCCTTGAACCTCTAATTGTCTGGAATTGACTTGGTCCTGAGGGACATATGAGGAAGCACCCTGTATGTATGGAAATACACTAATGCCGAATAATATTAGTATGCAGCTATTTTGTTGGTGATGGAATCAAGCATCCGGTAAGATCTTTCCAATTATCTTTGCCTCATCGTCCAAAGGGGGTTGCCATCCACCGAGCCACGATACGAACACCAAATTTCTTCAACTTTTGACAATGACTGCGATATTTCGGAAACTAACTTATGTGAACCAACTAAAGCTATATTTGGGGATTACGTAACTTAATATTTGTCTACCAACTTATGCTAAGTGAAAAACTACATTACATGACGTACTTTGTAGCTATCAACTTCTATATTTACGATATATGAGCTATCGTATCTTATATCATCATTAAAATTATTGTTTTGATCACCTTTATATATTTCCGTTTTTTTTTTTATTTACTAGTCTGGAGATCTGACTTTTCCCGTTTCGGTGTTTCTTGACAACACAGAGTGAAAATTAAAACGGGTGGCGCTTTATTTTGGAATATCAATTATTATATATATATTTATTTTATATTCGGTTTTTGTTGAACTCACACCTCACCACTGAGTCAGCGGGCATACTCTGGTCAAGAAACAGTAAATAGAAGTTCAATTTTGTAATTGAAATCTTAACGTAAAGCACCCGTAACAATATGTATATATAAAAATGATTGTTTAGGTATACCTATATGGGAACCGTTACTCTTATGACGTTGCAGTGACGTATCAATGACGTCTAAAAATCACGTCGGTGTGACGTACCAATTTGATGAGCTTCGTCATTCAAGACATTTTCGAATGATTTGCTATTTAGATTTTTGTTGGGTGACGAAGAATGCATCAATATACATTATCCAACAAAGGGAAGCCAAATTCGCCAACATCTTTTCCATCGCTATCAAACTATTCTTTGTTTGCTTACATCTCGCCGACACAAACTACATAATTTTTTATACAGATACACATATAACTGATTGCATTCTGATGGAGATGCGTACAGAAGGATGGCGTTGCTGAATAGGCGATCGAATGAACATGACACAGGAGGAACCCACCAAGCTGACTCAACAATGCATAATCGATATTATATAATGTCATCAGAGGCTAGTGGTGTTTATCACACCATGTCGAGGGAATCTTTCTCACGTATCATTGTCAAATTCAATCGTCATTTTGACGTCATTATGACGTCAGTCGGACGTCACAGTTTGATGAGTGAATGACGCCAATACGACGTGAGTAATATGACGTCACTGGGCTGCGACCTATCCACGTCATTATCACGTCAATGCGACGTCAACTACTGACGTCATATTGGTCATTCAAGTGACGTGAAAAAGACATCACTGGAACGTCATCTGGTTGCCTGGGGGGAGGGTGCGAAGCCCCAACTCGACAGAATGATCCAGCAGGAACTGTCAAGGGAAGAACAATTGTTGATATTCTAGAAGGGCATCGTACATGAAAATATCTCTGAAATAGAGCCAGACCCCAGTAGCACAGAATATCGGCTGCAAATCGGCTCTGCATTGGCCCAATATTTGAATATCGTAAATCGGTCGGATGATATTGTAACGATATTGAATAAATGAGCTGGACGGATCAATATGAATACAATGTTGATAGGCTTACATTTTTCAGGATCTTGAGAATCCTACATTGTATCGATATTCATAATGACATATGTGATGAAATCTATATTCCTCCTATATCCTGATGATTTATGTCTCGATATTGATAAATCTTCATGATAGATATATTGATTGCCTGATATCAGTTCATATTACAACTGGATATGTAACCTATATCGATAGAATATATCTTGGAGGATATTGCAATAAAACATCAGGTTCAATATCGTCACGTGGACTTCTTGATTTCATATATGTATTCCATATCGAATACAAAACCGCTATTCAATGATGACATCCCAATATTCCACCAATATTGTTTTTCTGGATATTGGTAAATTATATGTATACAATAAAAAGTTGTATTCTTATGACACCATCATCTATTTGATAATGAAGCAATATTGGAAAATGGAGATGACCTCGATATTGCAAATAATCATCACGTTGGATATCGTGAGGTCGATCAATTTATTCCATATATGTGTACCATATCACAAACTCTATATGGATTCAATGATGAAATCCCAATATCCCAGCGATATTGTTCTAGTGGATTTCATCAGGATGAGGTTGCAGCAATATTGAGAAATGCAGATGATTTAGATAATGCGAAATATCATTATGTTCAATATTGTGAAACCGACTTCCTGATTCCATATATTTGTACCATAACCAGATCCCAATATTTATTCGATGCTGTGATCACAATGTGCAAGCAAAAATATCATCCATAAATAGGAATGAAGATAATTCGATATTGGAAATAACAATTAGGATCAATATCGTGAGGTTTACTTTTTGTTTCCATCCATGTTAACCATATCAAAAACCCAAGGTCAATTCAATGATGAAATCTCAATATTAGAGCAATATTAACCTATGCATATTTCAGTAACCTTCATGTATACAATATTGTGTTCTAATCTCTTGCAACTATCATCAAGATGATGAAAGAGCAATATTGTTAAATGAATATGATCATCATATTGCAAATAATCATTGTGTTCAATATTGTGAATCCAACTTTCTGATTCTATATATTTGTACCATAATCAGATCCCAATACTATTTCGATGTTGTCATCACAATGTGCAAGCAATATTATCCATCTTGAGTTCAGTCAGTTATATTGATATAATATTGAGGTGTAATCACTTGATACTATCAACAGGATGATAAAGGGATAATATTGAGAAATGAAGATAATTCTATATTGCAAATAATCATTAGGTTCAATATCGTGAGTTCAACTTCTTGATTCCATTAATGTGTACCACATCAAAAACTCAGTGTAAATTCAATGATACAATCTCAATATCAGAGCAATATTTCTAATGCTTATTTCAGTCAACTTTATGTATACAATATTGTGCTGTGATCTCTTGAAACTATCATCAAGATGATAATAGAGCAATCTTTATAAATGAATATGAATTTCATATTGCAAATAATCATAGTGTTCAATATTGTGGAACCATCAACTTCCTGATTCCATATATTTGTACCATAATCAGATCCCAATATCAATTCGATGTTGTCATCACAATGTGCAAGCGATATTATCCATCTTGAGTTCAGTCAGTTATATTGATATAATATTGAGGTGTAATCTCTAGATACTATCAAAATGATGATAATGGAGCAATATTGAGAAATGAAGATTAGTTCAATATTGCTAGCAAACATCAGGTTCAATATAGTGAAGTCACCTTCTAGATTTCATATATGTGTACCATATCAAACACCTAATATCAATTCAATGATGAATTCTCAATATTAGAGCTTTCTCGCGCACGTTCGAGTGTTACCGTGAACGACAACACTAGTCACCACAGTTGCCATCTTGGTTTTGTCACTAAATCTAGTATTTTCAGTAGTAATACTATAATACTATAAGTACTTTAAAAAGATTAGGGCTAAACATCGATAACTTTTGTTGCATATAATTACGAAGAGTATCAGTTTAACAGTTGAAATAATCCGATCACGATGCGAAAGGATTATTATGTTGACGATTATTTGTAATTGTGCAGAAAGTTTAAGATGTATAATCTTGAAGATTTCGAAGTTCGAATTGTATTCGATGCGATTATTTTTTGCGTAGTTCTGAACGAGCGTCTAAATTTGACCATACGCTTTGTTTGTATGTAACAATATGCATTGATTAGTAAATGGAAATGGAAATAATTCTAAAAAAATGGCTGCTTCAAGATGGCGGACAAGATTTGGTCCCATTCCATTCGAAATTGGTAAATGGGGGTTTTTGAGGTCGACGATCATGATATTTTTGTTAAAATTTGTAAATTCAAGATGGCGGCTTCCAAATAAGTTTATGTTTTTGTATAAATGACGATAACTCCGTTGTTATCAACACAAAACTATAACTGCGACATGTCATCTGTAAGAGGAAAAAAAGTTATTTGTAACTAAGTCATAGTGAGCTATGAGCTTCCTTTGAACAACTAAAGTTGGTGCTGATATCTCAAATTCTAGAAGAGTTATCATATTTTTTTCGAATTCACTTCGAAAAACTCCCATGAGAATGTGAAATTCCTATCTGAATATTTTCATAAATAAAGAAGTTACGGAGGAGACATGAAAATGATCAAAATTTGTTTTTTGCGTATAAAACAAAAACGAATAGATTTTATCAAAATATTTTTTCACATTATAGTTGGCCTTGACAAACTCCACATTTGGTGTGATTTAACCGACCTCGTATCTCTCACCGTTAAAAAGATACCCATCGTGAGCATGGTAAGTGGGACACACTGTATAAACAAATGCGCAAAGTGGAATAATACATAATTGGTGATGAAATGTTCATTTCAACACAAGTTATGAAATGAAACGAAATTATGAATGGATGAATAAGAGAATAGTGCATTTTGTGTTGCTTCCTCCATATCACTTGGGAATTCTGAACTTGTGCACAAATATTACATCAAACAAATGATTTTATTTATTGTGGAATTTCAATTCAAGATACACCTAGGTTGTCATTTCAGTTTTTTCACATTATTCTGATATTCTTGTCTGAACAAGAAATGTATGTTTCTAGTATAACGTGTCTACTAGTACACCCGACAACACTGTCGGGAAAATACCTCAGGTCATAGAGTGACTATCTTTGCTCGACACTCACTAGCTCAGTTCTTTCAGTTGTCTCATAAAGTCTTCAAGCGTGTGGCGTGGATCGCGAGTGGTATATTATAACAGTTGTGCAAAAAATAATAAGGTAAAATTACTTATCCCAATTATTGATACTAGTTCAACTTTGATACAATTTTGATTATGTTCTTTCTTGCCATACCATGTGCTGATGCTGCAAAAT